TAAATCAGCTGCATTACATTATAGGACTATTCAAGCTTGTGACATGTAATTGAGAACGAGAGAAACACAGGCAGATATTGATTATGTAAATAAACACTTAATTTGCATAGTTAATGAGAAAATGTATTAATTCCATAATGCTAACTGCCTGGAATTTCATACTTGGAGTTGCTGGTGTCTTTTCCAAATTTAAAGTGACCAGTGTTACTACAGTAACGTACGGACCTCCCACGACGCGCATTTCCGAACTTGATCTTGTTATCGTCAACCGTAACTTGCTCACAAAAAATTGTGAACATCCATTTGCAGATTCTCGAATTATCCCGCTAACAACAATAACAACCAACACAAAAGGTCAAATTCAATGACATGGGAATCCCCCCCCCCCCACGAGGCCCATATCCGAACTTGACCTCCGTATTCCCAACGGCGACTTGCCAACTGAAAATCATAGACAACCATTTAAGGATTCCTGAGTTATCTGGGGAACAACAAAAAACGCAAACGCAAAAGGTAAGCTCCAGTCACGTAAGCTTACCTTTCCAAAAGCTTACCTTTCCAAAAGCTAACCATCAATGTATGCAGACGACACTGTCATCTACTATAGCAGCAAGGATGTTAGCGATATTGAGTACAACCTCCAAAATGATCTAAATACTCTTTCTCAGTGGTTCACAGCTAATTCATTATCCGTAAACAGTGGTAAATGCAAACTCATGCTTATTGGAACAGATAAAAGGGTTAACAGTTGCAGAAGCCCTGAAGTGTATATCAATGGGGCAACTGTAACGGAATGTACCTTTTACAAATACTTAGGTGTGTTAATTGATCGTAATCTCAACTGGAAGTGTCAAATAAATGCCGTCTTGGGCAAACTCAGGCGATCACTCAGCATTTTAAAGCACGTCCGCACATTCCTTCCAACATCTACTCTGTTAACTTTGTATAAAACTATATTTTTGCCACATATTATATACGCCTGCACTGTCTGGGACACTGCGCCCGAACGTGAGTTGGGGAAATTGCAAAGGTTGCAGAACAGAACCGAGCTGGCAAGCTGATTCTACGAGCCCCGTATCGAACTCCATCAGCCGAAGTCCACCGACGTCTGGGCTGGATGGACGTAAAGTCAATCCACAAACATCACAAAGCCCTCCTACTACATAAGGCCCTGAACAACCAACTACCGCCGTACATGCGCCGGATTTTCACATACTGTAGGGATAGAGCGACCAGAAGCACCAGACAAAGCGCGACTGATCTCCTTGCGGTACCGATGCCATTAAGAGAAATATACCGGAGATCCCTAGCCTACTCTGGCTCTCTTGTATGGAACGCTCTTCCGCAGCATGTTAGAGCAGCACCTACTCTTAGAACCTTTAAAAGACTGCTAGTATCGTAACTGACTGGACGACTTTGGACACAACGAGTTATGAGTTATTTATTAGTTATTGTCATTTTATTTATTTATTTACTTTGTGTGAGTTACCTTATGTATAAAAAAATATTACTTTGTTTTCATTTGTGAGCAGTAGTATTAATGTTATGACCCCCTGACACTCCTCCACGCTCGACCTCTATGAAAAGCGGCCGAAATAGCGGCCGATTAGAGCATGTAACACTGTTACAGATCGAGTTGAAATAAAGGCTCAAACAAACAAACCAACCCCCCCCCCACGAAGCCCATTTCTGGCCTTCACAATGACCATCACTAAGATGCCTGCCAAAAATCGTGAACCACGGACCATGCCTTCAAATTTATCGTGCATAATCTGCAAAACAGTGCAAAAACGATTTCAAAGCATTCTGTCGAAGGCAATAATAGAAGTAAGAAAGCAGTTGGTAGCAAATTTGTCAACAGGGATTTTTTTTCATAGAAACAGTTTTCGCATTTGATGAAATGCACATCAAGTTTAGCTTACATGTATATAATCCCTAGCAGTAATCAAGGGAACTCACAAGCATGATAGATTGCATGCATATGAGGAAGACACATCTACATTGATGGGGGATTACATTGATGGGGAACAGGATGAAGGGAAAAGTTCTCAGATACCGCACTTTTGTATCTTCTGAAAAGTTTAATATTAATGTGCATTTCTTCATACACTCAACAGTCGAGACGTTTCTGTAGAACACAAGTAGCCTTGTCAGAGAATTGACAGTTTGCTACCGAGACATCTCTCGCTTTTCCCTCCGTTCCCTTGGTACTAGACCATTTAGATAATGGTTTTTATTGGTCAAACAGTACCCGTGCAGTCGCAGCCTTAATACGACTGAATTGATGCAAGGTATCACATAATAATCAATAAATAGTCTCCAAAATCAAATAATACACATGATACACATATTTGCAAGGATCTGTGTGGTTGCCATTCGAATTCAGAACCACAAAGTGACCTCAATACGACTTTCCCCAAACAGAGTTAAGTACCCATTCACACCTGGGTGTACTGAGAAAAATCGTGTATAGTGCCTTTCCCAAGGGAACAGGCGGGCTTATGTCCAAAAATGTTCCGAGTACAACAGGTGGAAAAATATGGAACAATAGTCAATTGTGCTAAAATCCAACTCTTCAGAAAAGACTAATTTTTTGTCAACATAAAGGTTTAGGTTCTATGTTGTAGTTCAATGCACGTCTTACTGTCCCCAAAGTGCCTTAAATTTAAAGGGTATATTCTGCAACAATCCATATCAAATGTACCTCATTACTCAAAATGTGGACCAAAAATTTAAGAATAAAAAACACATATTTTGCCAACATCGACATCGACAAGTATAAATAACCAGAAACGAATAAACGATCAATATCCATGCAAAATACATGCAAGGAGCCTTGATACATGTATGCATTTATTTTATTTCACCCGTGTTTTTTTTTTTTGTACAAGGTACTCGATTCAAAACAGACTTTCCATACCTCAAAAACAGTCTTAGGCCTAGGATCTAGGAACAGCTTCAGTCATAGCAGCTGTCTTGTCGATCACCATACGGATGAAACACCCGAACTGCTTGGTTGCACGCCCCACCTGTAGGCCGGAGTAAACCTCAATTCCTCTCCCGACCTTCTCGTCATTACAGAAGAATTGCACTGTAGTTGATCTTGACAAAACTTGCTTGTAATTGTATGGTCGAAACTCACTCGCTGCTACAAGTCTCTCGTACAGTTGCGCAAAAGTTAGCTCTCCCTGGACGACATCGAGCGCGTACCAGTCAACAACAACGTTTCCGCAAGCTTTTATGACCTTTAATGCTCACATACTTGGCAACCAAGGGTAGTGAGCCCACATGCTATGTAGAGCACGATGTCATCTTGCATCTTTTGAACTGTGACGCGCGGACTCTTGTGCGCACGTACAGCATCGTTTTGTGCGCACGTACACCATCGTTTTGTGCGCACGTACAGCATCGTTTTGTGCGCACGTACACCATCGTTTTGTGCGCACGTACACCATCGTTTTGTGCGCACGTACACCATCGTTTTGTGCGCACGTACACCGTCGTTTTGTGCGCACGTACACCATCGTTTTGTGCGCACGTACACCATCGTTTTGTGCGCACGTACACCATCGTTTTGTGCGCACGTACACCATTGGCACATGTGCTCTTTATCCATTTAGCGTTAAGGGTTTCACGCAATCTGACGATTTGCGGCACTGTCGTGACTCTTTGGACATAGTTACAGGAAGCGGAATTTCTTTTTTTTTTCATTCATCCGTTTGATACCGTTCCTTCTTTCTATCCCTTTCAGCCTGTGCATGCTCTCTATCAGTGTGATACCGTTCCTTCTTTCTATCCTTTTAAGCCTGTGCATGCTTCATCAGTGTTATACCGTTCCTTCGTTTTGTCTCGCCTCTCTTGGGCGTATTGTCCATCAGTGTGGTATCTTGTCTTCTTCCTGTCCCGTTGGGCCTGGGCATACATCTCATCCTCATGGTACCGTTTCCTTTCTCGTACCCGTTTGGCCTTCTTGCGGTCCCCAATGTCATCATTCAGTGTGGTCTTTCTCTTGCTGCTAGTAACTGGTGAGACCTCTGTAGATTCTTCTTCCTAGCACAGTGTGGTACTCCTTGTCGACATGTCTATTGACAGCTCCATAGTTTTGTGACAACATGAAAGTGATTTTTGTTTTTATGTTGAAGGTATACAGCATTACCTGTTTTGAACATGGTTTTATCAACAATACTTCCGTTTGGTGGGTACTTCAACCAAGTCCACTTCTTGCCGTACTTAGTGTACAAATAGATTCGTCCTCACAAGAATAAAGCCATTGTATCCATTTCTACATGTGTGGCCCATGCACCAAGATCTCCTGGACGTTTCCCTCTCTCATCTCGACGGTTCAGGTACTGGTCCATGCTTAGTCCTCCATCGGACCAAGACCTGTAAACGTGCTTAATCAATGTTGACATGAACTCTATCAAACGCTTCCACAGATATGGTAACTAATTGCATTATAAAAACAATACCATCTCGTCGTATAGGAACAAGACCACTCTTATATACGAGGAGTCTTTATAATAAAAGGATATTCCTCTGCTCCATATTTTGGTATCGTTCAACAGGAATGTTTTGCTAACTGGTCACATTCAACTGATCTTCCCGTTTAAAAGAGTCACGAATGAAACCTCCTTCATTATCACAGGCCCATGTTTCCTGTACAGCCTGGTCATAAACTGACTCGTCCCCACCTTCCCGTCCTGTCCCGTATCTACTTCCTATACTGACTTTACCTCTGCTTGCTTGCCATCCTGCTGGCTGGGTTGCTTCTCCGTTTTTTTGCTGTTACTTCCATGCACTCATCGTCTCAGCCAGTGCCTTTTTCTTACGCCTCGGCATTCGTGAAACGTTTGAAATACCAGAAATTACAGGTATGTGTTAATTTCGCTGTTTAGTGATCCTTTTACCTAATGTAAAATGTAGGAAGACATACACTTATGACGTTAATAAAATGTAGGAGCCATGCACAAGTTTGTGAGATTTTTATTACCACCACCCAGTACAGTGAATAAAGCTCCATCAGGTGTACGAGATTTTTTATCACCACCTCAAAATTCAGTCAAGAAAGTTCAAATAAAGTAACATAATCCGTGAACCGGCAAACCTGAGCCCCATATTTACAACAATTAGGTTGTGTTAAACCCTCATGATAGCCGACATTTCTACTACATTTCCCCGTTTCCCTAGGTAGCAAAACTTTCGAGCGATCGCCCCCCCCCTCCCCGCCTCGTTCAAAAACAAAGGATACACTGGACAAAATCCTCTAAAATCGGTAAACCGAAGAAATGTTTACAACCACAATTATTTTTATGGCGTTATGACGCGATATGACGTCATTATGACGTCATTAATGTTATAGTATTGGCCAAAACCGTATTGATAGGTTATTTCCTACTCAATGGTATACAACTCAACTTTAACAAAAGGTGTTTATAATAAAATACTAGGGTGTACTAAGTCTTATATTGCCCATAGCAACACCAGTGACGTCATAAAATCACGTCAGGCATATTTAAGCTATCCGCCATATTGGATCATCAATCTTGGATTTTGAAAAATAGTTGTTTTTCAAGATAAAGGCTGAAATAGACTAAAGACCTTCATATTAACTTTTTTTGTAATAAGACATTGAAGTAGTGATGAACTTTTAAGGAAATTACCTGTTCATTTGATCTAATAATGATGTTGTCCGCCATCTTGAATATTGGCATTTTCTATGATGAAATTTACATCAAGTTACATAAAATATTATTAATATTAGAAATCATGTGTAACTTGACATAAAACCCAAAAAATTCTATTGTTGACAGAATATATCATTAAATGTGGTATCAACTCGATCTTATTATCAGTTAAGATTCTATTTAGTATGTAATTTAGACTTTGTGAATCTCTGAATTATTTCTATCTACACATTCTTACAGTCTAGCAGTCTTGCTTTACCAAAGAATAAAATCAAGAACCAACCAGATGGTTTTCATTTCTTTTGGCCAAATCTTCCTCGAAAGAGTATCCGAACATATCAAAGTCCTTCTGAAAGACCTTCTGTAGTGGCAAAATTTCATCAATCGGGACTCGGCCGTAGAAGTCTTTAAAAACATTGCCATTGTTCACGTTTCTCGACTGATGTTTTGGGAGGACGTCTTCATTAGCTGTGATGTTGTTCTGCTTTAAGAAGAGTCTAATGTCCGAAGCGATTGTGTCCGTGTGGGCAACAAAGTCGTAGTCAATCTAGTAGAGAAAGTACATGTAAAGCATTATCCGACTTTTACAACAAATTCGAATGCACTATATTTGCCTTCGACGAGAAGGCTATAAAATCGTTTCGGCACTGTTAGGCAGATTATGCACGATAACTCTTGAAGGAATGGTCCGAGGTTCACGATTTTTGGCAGGCAGGTTGCCTTCGGGGTGGCCATTGTCAAACTTAAAATGGGTTTCGTGGGGGTTCCTACGTTACTGCAGTTGACCTATTGTGTTTGTATTTTTTCTTGTTATCAAGATAACTCGAGAATCCTTAAATGGATGTTCCTGATTTTTAGTTGGCAAGTTACTGTTGAGAATTCCAAAGTCAAGTTCGGAAATGGGCCTCGTGGGGAATCCCCACGTCATTGAATTAGACCGTTTGTGTTGGTCATTTTTGTTGATAATTCGAGAATCTGCAAATGGATGTTCACGATTTTTGTGAGCATCGTTGGCGATAGCAAGGTCAAGGTTGAAAATGGGCGTCGTGGGAGGTCCGTACGTTGCTGTAGTGGGTTTTTGGTGATTGTTGGTTAGTTTGTCAGTAGTTTAAGTTGTAAAAACGCAATGTTCTTCTTTTTTTATTGTGAATAGGTTAAGGAGTTTAGATTAAGGGTTTCAAATTTGGAGTCTTTAGTAGATTGTGGGTTAGTGCAATGGGACATTTTGTGTGAACATTTTTAAGTGCAGGCGAAGTCTTAAAAGTTAGCTCTGGTTACTGGTAACTTACAGCGAGGGAGGTGTCAACAGTGGCTTTAGCCGGAAAAACAGTTCCCCCTGAACGGTTGTTTGCTCAGCGAGGGAGGTGTCAACAGTGGCTTTTTCCGAAAAAAAAAATGTGTGAACATTTGTATTGGACACCGCACGCTTCAATCACGCTGGCTGTATTAAAACAGATTAGTTGAAGGAGTTTTTGCTGTTTTGAAGTTTGGATCGCCGCGTATTGGAGGGAAGAAAACAACCTTTCGCAGCCAGACTCCCGAGGCCAATTTTTCCTCTCCTTTTTGCCAAATTCTACGATCCGTATTTCCGTAGAAAGACACTGTACAGGCTAGGTAAATAGTGTGTTGCTTCGTTCACAAAACGACTCTCTGATCACTATAACTACGATAATCATCTTCAAAAAACATACACTATACATACACACAACACCCACCAAACCAATATCACACTTTTGAAGGCATGAGCCTCCGAACTCTAGTTTTATAATTGGGTCATTGGCTGTGAAATTTACCGTGTAAAAGGATTCTTTTTATGTGCGTTGGAGTTAAATGTCCAATAAACATGTGGATAGAAAAGTTGTCTACCATTAGATTAGGGAGTTAGTCTTACACAGTACCTTGCATGGTGTGCATAGCCTGTCGAATGATAACCAGTGCTGACTTTCCACTTTTCGATGCGAAACGGCAAAGAGAAACTCTCGGAATGACACTCGTTTTGGGTCGTTGTCTGTCCTTTCTTCGTTTATTTTACTTAACTGGAATATAAAAATACACATTCTTATTTTGAAAGAGAAGCTTTGGGAGTCGCATAAATCAGTGCATTAGACCTGCCCCCTTATAGAGACAAAGCGCGATAAACGTTCTGCAAATTATAATACACGTTTGATGCATGGCATATTTGCATAATGCAACGTTTATTTCGTGGCTCGTAGCCGATTACGAAACAAAGACTGGCCTTATTTATTGATTACATCTACCAACGCATGCGAACTTTCAAATTCTACATTTACGTTGCTGATATTTATTGCTATAATTCTGTAGACAGATGTAAATGGTTCAAATGAGTTATAACTTTAGGCATCTTTGACTTTTGAGAAAATGTACAAGAGTTGAGAACTATTAAATGAGCCTCACCTCGTCTATTAGGGTGCGATCTTCTAAGCTGTCTAAACCACGCCTCATGCGATTAACAAACGCATATTCGCCGACACGTTCCGGCGTAATAACGAACTTGTCGAACCATGCAGACGCCAACCTGCCATGTACAGAATAGGAGATATTGGTGTTAAATCATAATACAAAGTACTAGGTACTTATCCCCAGTAATGTGTCCTAGAATGCTCTCACTATTTGTTTAGGCAAAACAACCAAAGCAGAGCTCGTCGAAATTTCATTGATATTGAATCAAAGCCATGTATCGAAGGCGTTATTTGACGGTTTTTCTCTTTCATAATGTTGTATTTAGATGACAGAGGATTCAAAAAGATTGTAGCCAGTGTTCTAAACCAACCGGTGAGGCTTTGAACGGCTTTCTACCTGGTGTGTTTTGATAAAATACAGATCCAAACAGCGTTGACGAGCGCAATGAAGAGGAAACCAAAGTTAAGGAAAAAGATGCTGACAGGAGCCAGAAAATGAGTTAGTGCTGACCTGGCGCTACCAGAATGACGTGGCCTTGGGGATTTCAGATCTTGTAGTAATACTCAAAACTCTTCTCCTTAAGTAAAAAATCAAGTTGAATCCTATTCATGGCCACCGATTTTTATAAGAAGTGTGTGGTAGTGAAAAATTATAGTAACAAGTTTATAATAATGGTTTTAAGAAAAATCAACTCTACTTATTGAACGTGTAGGGCTTAAATCATTGCTCTATAACTGGTGCGGACACCAAGAACTCAGTAGAAACCAGCATGAAAGTTCATCTTTGTTAGTACAAGTCATTCTGAAATAAAGACTAAGCTTTAACTTCTAACACCAAGTACAAAAACTGGGATTTACACCAACTTTTCTGAAATTAAAACAAGATTCCAGGAAAATTTGGGAAAGTCCCAATTCTTTGTAGTTAGTGTTAAAAGTTAAAGCCCAGTCTTTATTTCATAACCATTAGTAACAAATTGTCTAAATAGCGACCTGTTTTATAACCAACACAGATTAAGTCTAGAAAGGCCGACATTTGCTTGGGAGAAAATACAGCATATTTCAGTCCATCTCCCTCCCACGCAAAAGTGGACTATCCCAAATTACCCCAGTGCAAAACTTAAAGATTCTAAAACAAATCAATCATATAGTAACTATGTAATTGAGGACAAAGAAGCAAGAACAGGCACTTTGAATCTCGACAGCTTTACTTACAAAAGTTCACATCACTCATCTTACAATCTTACTGCAGGTATGCAAATACTAACAATGCTGAGATTTGATACATTTTGAAGGTCTAATTGCAAAGAATAGGAAACTATACATAACTATATATAGTTGAAACTATAAAACTATACATACATATTGAACTATACATTACTTACATACTAGTACACTATGACACTATATATACATATTGATTAAGATATATATTATATGACTTGAATATGCTATAAAAACATTCCGATATTGAATAATCTACATATGATTGACATAAGTATATACCACACAAATGCTATGCTACTACAAATGCCGGATGTTGAATATTCTATACATGACTTTTATATACAATGTGAAACTGTTATATTTGTATTGAAAAATAGACACAAGGTTGGCACAATTATACCTGTGTACCTTACATATACTATGCCACTACATATATTATAATATATCTATTTGATAAGCTCTACATGACTTGATACAATGATATACAATGATTTACACAATTATATATTATACATATACAATATGCTGTATCCTGTTGATGATGGCTGAAAAGTACATATTGTATATGTTGTATACCGCCTGGTATATTATCTTTCATCCCAAAAAAATATTTTCTTCATTTCTCATTTCTTATAGAAACTGAGGAAAATCAAGAAGGTCCTATCCACCTTGGGCTACAAAGTGTTTATTTAGAATTCATCTAGTATCTATCCAGCAGTTTATTACATATACAGAATATATCATGATCAAGAATAACTTTTTTTTTATTTTTCAGATGATGTCCTCTGTCACTGGCTGTACTGTTTCTTGACAAAATACTTGGTCAACAAAGTCCTTTCCCCCTTGGGCTACTAAATGTGTATTTATAATGTATCTAG